TAGATTCAATGTTTGTAATGGCTCAGCCATTCCCAGTCCTTATTCAAACCGGAGTTGATTGTGTCTAGTTTGCATACTTTGTAGTAGGGAAGCCAGCCACCAGCAGCCTCCTCACACAGATCTTAGCTGCCAAAGAACCTAATGACATTTGCCTACTCATCTGAATTTTGAACAGAACATTAGGATACTGCACTTTTTTTCATGACTACAATCTGCCTGAGTCATTGTGTTGGAGGCTGACTCCAGTGGGCTGTTAAGTTAAACTTTACTGCAAATGAAAATGCTCCCGATTACTGATACAGCAGAGCCTATAAGCAGCATTTAAGAAATCGGGAACATAAAGCCTATGGTCCATTTGCTCCTGCATCTGCCTTTGTCCTTGGCCAATACCTACTGTTTAGGGGAGGAATATGGAATGCTTGAGAATGGAAGATGATCTGGTGGCACACTCCAGCAGGAGTGCCAGAACCTCCCTGGTCCCACCTCGTCCCCCCAATGTCCTGCCCCCATCCACTCCTCTCACTGCCTTTCCCCTCCTACCCCTGCCCTGGATTTAAAAAGGGCTGGGTCATTTTATGACCAATTGGTAATAACTTTTGTCCCGGTACCAATTAAAGCTAATCTCTTTCATTGCAGAGAGTAAATTGATCCCCTGCAGCTGTTGGGAACAAATCCTTCTCCCCAGGGCACAGTTGCCCCAGTAGCCAGCTGCATTGCAGTGGAGTGTGCTTTGCTCTAGTCTGAAGAATTGCCAATAATACATACACCTTCCAGCCAAGGATCAGGGAGAGTTTAACAAATGTGAATTTATCCTCACGGTCCCCTAGTGCAAGATAGACCAGTGTTACAGTCTCCATCTGACATATATGGAAGGTGAGACACAGAGAAGCAACCTGCACAGCATCACACATTGTCAGAGACTGGGACATGGGCAGTCATGCCTAGTGGTTGGAACAGGAATTGGTAGCCAACAATGGGAGCTGAAGGTCAGAGCTGACTCAGCCTTTTTTAAATCCAGCCCCAGTAATTAGCTCTGACCCCTTGGAGCAGTGAATGCCACAGGATGGCTATAGCTTTTGTGAAGTATTTCCCTCTATTGCAGTGTTTCCCAAACTTGGAACGCCGCTTGTGTAGGGAAAGCCCCTGGTAGGCCGGGCCGGTTTGTTTATCTGCCCTGTCTGCAGGTCCGGCCGATCGCGGCTCCCACTGGCCACGGTTCATCGCTCCAGACCAACGGGGACTGCGGGAAGCGGTGCAGGCCGAGGGATGCGCTGGCCGCTGCTTCCAGCAGCTCCCGTTGGCCTGGAGTGGTGAACTGCGGCCAGTGGGCGCTGCGATCGGCCGAACCTGTGGACAGGGCAGGTAAACAAACTGGCCCAGCCCGCCAGGGGCTTTCCCTACACAAGCCGTGTCCCAAGTTTGGGAAACACTGCTCTATTGGTTCTAAATTGGTGGAGAGTTAACTTCATTGAGTGTCCCAGGGTTCTCATATTATCAGACATTATCCACGGGATGCACTGTTTGACTGATTGTTAATGGAATACAGAATCATTCACCTCTAGGTTATTGTTTCATATCCAGCCTAGGTCAGTGGAGACTAAAAGTTCTTGCCAGGCGTTGGCTGTTCAGTGGCCTTTGTGAAATGAGTTTGGGGAAGGGGGGGTTCGGTCTCAGTCCAATTGCAATGTAAACAAATGTTCACATAGGGAAAGTCACCGCCACAACTGGATTAATTAGCTGCCTCAGCAGAGAGGACTGACTGACTGGGAATGAAGAATGAGGAACCCCTCTCACTTCTGGAATTGGTCCCTCTAGGTCAGAGGAGAGGCACATGCATAAAGCTGCCTGATGTCTTTATTCTGTACAGAGAGGAGTTCGGTTTCCGGGGTTGTAACAGAAATAGGGCTAGGTCCTCAGCTGGTGCAACTCAGCACAGTTCCACTGAAGTTGCAGTAACAGATTTAAATTTTATTAGAGAATATTTAAAAAATAAACGATACAGAAAGTTTGAAGCGTCAATTATTGGTCATTGGGGGTAACATACAGAGTATAGGGGTATGTTGGTGTTTTGGAGTTGGGCAGCACACATAGTATATACAGACTGCAATGTCCCCAATGAGGGGTGGATAACCGGTGGGCGGGATCAGGAAACAGTCGATAAGAGGTGAGGGTCTATCACCCATACGGAAAGTAGAGACAGTCATGGGTATAAGTAAGCGGGCTGGGTAATGGGGATGGGGTGACCCTCACGTGGTGGGATTCAGTTAGGTTTGGTGGGTTCAGGGCTCAGGGTATAGAGTCCAGCAGGGGAGGTCTGTGGGTGCACGAGGTCTCCCCGGCTCACTCTCGGTATTGGCGGTGGCTGGTGATGTGCTCGATGTAGATGTCCCAGGACCAACGGATAGTGTCCGAGACCATTAGGCGTCTCATGAGCCGTGCGTAATGACAGCCCACCCCACAGGTCCTCAGCACGCGTTCGTTACACGGGTCCCAGGTACCCAGGGCCCCAACGAGCAGAGCGTCGACGTGCACCTCGTAGCCCTTAGTCCGCAGGGTGTCAGCCAGGGGGGCGTATTTTTCGAGCTTGCGGGCTCGGGCTTCGCGGAAAGCCGGGGTCCTGTTCTCGAATGGAATCGTTACGTTGACCAGGATGATCTTTTTTCCAACCTTATCCGTGACGACGATGTCTGGGCGCAGCGGGCTGTCGGTGCTGGGGACGGCGCGGTTGACGGTGATCTCTCCCAGACGCGGGTTGATGGCCTTCACTAGACGGTCCTGGACGGCGTTGTGGCGTAGCTGCCAGGCTCTGGCATGGGGCTTGCAGCAGCATAGGACGTGGGGCAGGGTTTCGTTGACGTACCCGCACTTCCTGCAGCGTTTGTCCCGGTTCCCGTGGCGGATGGCACTGTTGAGCGGGACGCAATTCAGCCGCGCATGGTGAATGAACCGCCAGTCGGCGAACCGGGTGAAGCTGCCTGTGGGGAGGAAGTGGTTTTGCTACAACACTGTCCCTACCCATGACAATATTTAAATCAAGACTTAACCAGTTACAGCAAAGTCACACTCAGGCAAGTCAGCTTCCTGTCTCAATGTTCCCAACTGCATATCTTGCCTAATAATAAAAATGCTGTGCCCGTACCTGGCCCTGTCTACACTACATTTTAAGGGGTGTTTTTAAAATGAGGTATCCCAGCATAAGGCAGTGTTGGTTTTTTTGTTTTGTTTTTTTTTAACCTCAATGTAGCTTTGAACCACCACCTCAGCTGTACTCCTCCAAGACAATACAGCTCACAAAGTCCAGGCCTACGCACTTGAGAGCTAGAGACCGCATTCTCAGTGAAGGGGATCTGGCTGTGGAACAAACTTCTGGAGCTCAGATGAATACAGTTTGACCAAAGTGAAGGAATGCTGTAAAACTTTCCTCTTTGCAAAATCTTTTCCCCTATAAGACAGACATTCACAATACCGACACTCCCATCTGTCCTTGACCTCTACCCCAACCAGCCAAAAACCAAAACCTGACCCCAAAGATGAAGAAAAGCCAGAGACTCCAGGAAGTGGACTCAAAATGAGCTTTCGCTATTGATCTGATGTGGAAGATGGGTGGTGAGGTAAAACCCTAAGACAGATGTGGCTGGTTGAGGGACACCTTCCCCTCCCCCCCTAACTTACCATCCACATCAAGATAAAATGACAACTTGCCTTGTCTACACCAGGATTTTGCACCATAAAAAAACCACTTTTTCCTGGTGTAAGCACAAGCCATAGGGCCTGGTTCCCCATGCCCTGTACCTAGTGCAGTCATTTACTGCCTTGCAAAATGGGGTGAAATGCTACCAAATCAGGATGGAAGCATTTAATTCCCTCCTGGTGCCGGTATAAATGTCTGGACAAGGTGCAGGGTAAGAGAGAATCGGGGCCTGCTGTGTCTGTATCTGTAGATCTCAAAGCACCTGACCCAGTTGAGTATGTTTTACAGATAACACAAGCACCGTTAGATGTGAAGCTGTTTATCTGAGAGGGACTGTGGTTCTGTGGATGCAGGTGGGGCCTATTGCCTCAGAGAGCGGTGCTCTCTTCCCAGCTTAACCACAAACTTCCCGTGTGACCTAGCACAAGTCACTTAGCCTCCCTGTGTGACCTAGCACAAGTCACTTAGCCTCCCTGTGAACGGGGGAAGTACTGTTTGCACTGTGTTACCTTCCTCCCCCCACTTAGAAGCTTTACTAAATACACGGACTGTGCAGAGAAAAATGAAAGTAAAAATAGAACCTTCTTATTTAGCCGGACTGTTCCCCATGTGGAGTGAGTCACATCTGCTGACTTAAGAAACAGAGCCTGATCTAGGTCACTTTTTCCTCATGTTTATCTTGCAGAGCCAATGCAGAGTGAACTGGAGTCTGTTCTGACTCACACGCCATCCACGGAGTCGTTAACTAATGTTCCTGCTGCAGAATCATTATCACTGGTTGCCAGCGCCCCGACTGCACTCCCGGCCAATGACATGCAAGATAACTGGAAGAATGTAAACCTGGAAGCTGACAGATCTAGAGTTAAGTGCAGCACAAGGGAGTACACAAACTCAGGAAACAAGATGGTAAACAGCTTGGGAGTCAGGAAGAGGTGATGGGGACAGGATCAGCCAATGGTCACAAAATAGTTTCTAAACATAAGCAGGCCTGACTGTCTGTCATTCACAAAGGACTCTACACCACATGTAGAATAAAAGGAACTTTAAGTCCTAGAATCGGACTTAGATCTGGAGATATTTAAGAGTAGGTTAGATAAATGTCTATCAGGGATGGTCTAGACAGTATTTGGTCCTGCCATGCGGGCAGGGGACCGGACTCGATGACCTCTCGCGGTCCCTTCCGGTCCTAGAATCTATGAATCTATGGATGCTGCCATAAATCAGCAAAGCTTAAATTAAGTCAGTGGAACAACCCCTATCTACCCCAGCTGAGAGTCTGATCCTGAGTCAAGTTCAGGGCACTCTGAAATAATGGCCGTGTAGCGAGGCGGTGGGATACCCCACAGCGCCGCTGAGGGCCGAACCTCGGCCGAGACTTCTACAGGCCCTTTTGCAGTCTGATTCTCACTGCAGTAGAAAGAGAGAGCCTGGAGCACGGCGCCTGGTGCGAGGCCTGAACCAAAGTCCGCAAAAGTTACGTAATGAGCAAAAGTCAGGCCCTGTCAACAAAGCAGATACTTGCCTGCAAGTTCACTCTCTGGTACATGAACTTGGCCCAGGTAATGTTAGCATTGCTAAAACAAACCGAATATGTAAACACATTCCAGACTAGCACAACTACACCCCGACCAAACACAAGATCAGTGGTTTGGCGGAAGTGATGAATGCTGATGTTTTGTCTGAAACATCAGGAGTAAAGTGCAAATTCAGGTGGTGAAGGGGGGGGGGCGTATCTCGCCTTAACCCTTTTTCAGCCAAGGGGTCAGCAAAAAGTTCCATTGCTGACTGAGCGGAGTCCTTGCCACTGGGTACTCGTGTGCTAGTATACCTGCAGATGTTGATCCAGGAAGCTAGGACGGTATCTTGAGGGCAATAGCTGGCTGAGCGCCTTTGCCACTGAACCGAGTCTGTGGTCTTTCTGGGTAATACTGTCAAGGTCTGTTGGGCTAGCGATCTGCCTAGAGCTGAGACCACACACAGAGAAAACACACACACACACACACGCATGCCAACTGACAACAGTCACAAGCACTCTATAACACAAACCTGAAAGCCAACCATGACCAGCTTATTTTTTTTAACTCTGCTTTCACTATCTTTACTAGGCCCAAAATCCTGCTTGTTAGTTAAAACATGTTATGAACACATTCTAACACAACCTGTTTTCCTAGTCTGGATGCAACCTTTGCATTGTCATTTACATTGTACAAAGTGAGTGCCAAGTGGGTATATGATTTGCAAATGATTTACACCCATGTTGCAAAGGGGTAAAAGTCTACAAAACATGCAAGTCAGTGGAGAATTGGGCCCAGAATTTCTAGTCTATGTTAGTCACAAGCATCTATGCTCTTGAACAAGAATTTTAATGGAAAATTAATCTGATGCAAAATTTGATTGATACAAGCAATTCACAAGAGTGGGTCTATTTTCAGAACTCCAGCAAAAACAGCGGGTCTCTCACAGCTTCAGCTGTAGTTAAATCGATCTAACCCCTGGTGTAGATGCAGCTAGATAGATGCTTCTGTCCTTCTAGGTACTGTTGCTTGGGAGGTGGTGTTCCTACAGAGACAGATAAACCCCTTCGGTCACTCTAGGCTGAATTTACACTATGAGGTTATGACAGTATAGTCCCCGTAGTAGACATGGCCTGAGTCAGGGGACCCAATTACCCCACAGTTGGTCCCTGACTCAACTGCAACAGGGTTAAAATATTGCAAGGACCGGCCATGACTTTAGCCCAGTTACAAGGACAAGGTTAAATCCTGTCTGTGCTCACGTTCGAACTGTAACTGGGTCAGAGGACAACAGTGTTGTAATGAGACGAGGGAACAGCAGTGTTTGTAAGCCGGTCTCCTCACTGGGTTAAAGCTGAAGTGTAGATGAGCCCTTTTTGTTTGGGACAATTTGGACAGAGAGCGGATGGCTCAGTTACAGGTGTATTGTAGACAAGGGTTAGGCCTCTGTGAGTTTAACTCGGCCCCAAACACATTAACAGTCACTAGAGGTGGTTGAGAATTTTTTGCCACGATATTTATTTGTTGGAAAACATCAATCTGTCTAAACAGACCCTTTCCACGGGAAAGAGTCAGGTTTTGATGAATTTTTCAACTTGAAAAATGAAATAAAAGTTTTGAAATTGTCAAGTTGGTTCCTTTTGACACTTCCAAAATGAAGAATTCCAGCTTTCCACTTCAAAGCAACTTTTGTTTTGAAATTTAAGCTAATTTTCAAAATCGAAAGAAGACTGTTGAAATTACAGAAATAAAATGTTTCAATTTATCTGAATTGATTGTTATTTTTTGGTTAATCACATTTTTAGAGATTTCAAGTCTTCTTCCTGATTTGGGATGGGAAATTTTTTCAAAATCTTGTTGGGGTTTTTTTTGGTGGGACAGGAAAATTGTTTCCAGTTCAGCTAAAAGCCAGTCTTGTCACGAAGCCAGCTTTACTACAACTACCCTACTACTACTTGGCTTTTCCCCCAGAAACAGCTACCTTCCCATGGCCTCAGTCTTTCATTCTGGGTGTTGAGCAAGTGGCTGGCCCGGTTGTTTAGCCATTGCCAGTATGTCTGTGGTTAAATTGCAAACAAAGAGGAAGTCAGTTCAAGTTATTACATTAGAAAGGACTTCTTGTCTCTTACAGAATGTGTTGAAATGCTCCATTGAAATCTTAAACACTGGTCATCAGCCCAGTGCCATTCTGATACTGAGGGCTTATCTATCTTAGTGCTGCCTACACACAAGTTACAGTATATTGGTTTAGTTAAATCAACAGACCTATTTGAGCTGAGTGCATTCACACTGTTAAGCTTGCATTGCACAAATGACATTGCATTTCAAGGCTTGTGTTCACAGGACATCATGCAGCATTAGTTTAACACTCTGAATGGGTAACACAAAGTCCCTTGCACTGCCTCTATGCCCACTGCATTTTGGGAAACTTGCTGTGGACTGTGGGATACTACAGTATCTGAGGGAATGATGGGAGCAGAGGTCAAATGTCCATTCTCACTTTCACAGGATTCCAGAATTCACTGGTGGCTGAACTATTTCCAAATTGATCTCTGCCCCCAAGGATGAGGGGCTAATCAACGTAGTGCTTGCTAGAGGAATCTGCAGACTGGGCAAGCTGGTAGAAGAGAACCTGTGCTTTGATGTTGCTCAGGTATTCCTATAAGATCTAGCTTTGGAGTAGTTCTACGTGGTGGATCAATACTTTTGGGCTGGCCAATGAACACTGAATGGTGGAACTAGATCACTTTGGGGGCCAACAGCGGCTGCA